GATGATGATGATGATGATGGATGGATGATGGATGGTTGATGATGATGCTGATGATGAGGATGGAAGGATAGATGGATGGATTGATGGATTGATGATGATGAGGATGGATGGATGGATGGATGGATGGAATGATGATGATGATGATGGATGGATGATGGATGGTTGATGATGATGATGAGGATGGAAGGATAGATGGATGGATTGATGGATTGATGATGAGGATGGATGGATGGATGGATGGATGGATGGATGGATGGATGGAATGATGATGATGATGAGGAGGAGGGATGGATGGATGGATGGAATGATGATGATGATGAGGATGGATGGATGGATGGAATGATGATGAGGAGGAGGGATGGATGGATGGATGGAATGATGATGATGATGATGATGGATGGTTGATGATGATGATGAGGAGGAGGGATGGATAGATGGATGGATAGAATGATGATGATGATGATGATGATGAGGGTGGATAGATGGATGGATGGATGGATGGGTGCCTCTGATCTCTGAGCCTGCTTCTGTGCTTAAATTAGGAAGATGACAGGAACAACCCTTAAAATTTTCATGAGGATGTAACTGCAGCTGAAATGCACTTTTCCACAGAACCAGAAGTTTACTTTAAGAGAATACAAAATCAACTCCATGGAGGCAAAACAGGATGTTAAGGTTAATCATGCATTGCCGTAATTAAGGCTACCTTAAAAAAAAGTAAATAAAGCAACGGGGAAGTGAAGTCCAGGTTCTTTTGTTGGGTTTTGCCAGTGAATTATATAACCATTTGTTAGTGTTTTAAAGGTCAACACATTGAATTATGAAAAAAAAAAGAGACAACAAAACACCACAGAAGGCCACATCGGCTACAGTATAAAAAACACTGATTAGAAACAACAAACCTTTTCAACACATTCTTCTCACAAGAACAGTCATATAAAGGTTAGGGAATGTTGTTGACAGGAAACTGACAAATAAGTTGTTAATGAAAAACCTTCTAGTAATTACCGACCATTGAAATCAGCAGACGCTGAAGCTGCTCAGAGAAAATATTTCTGTTGTGATATTTTAATCTCATTCCAATAATAAAAGAGATCCTATTCTATGTTAAAAGGCGATAAAAGGTGCGTTCTGAAAAAAGGATACGTCTGAGAACCACAGGAGCAAAAAGCCCTCTAAAGTTTACAGGGGAAACAATCATATTTAACATTTTCCAAGCATCAGCACTGTAATCAGCTGTTAGTGATTATCTACATTAAACATATCCCTCTGTTGCTTGCAGGAGGTGAAATACTTCCAGTTTCCCGGAGAGCTGCTCATGAGGATGCTGAAAATGTTAATCTTGCCTCTCGTCGTCTCAAGGTAAGAGAACCAGCTGTGCGAGAAAGAAACACTTAAACACATCCCGATGCTCTAATTAACCTGACATGATATTAATGTTATACGTGCCATACATAAATATGCAGATGATGCATCTAAATTGTTCATTTTAGCCTGATTAAAAAAGGAATTCTTAAAGGGAAAGCAGATATTTTGGGCAAGCTCATTCTTGAAGTACTTTGTAACATCAAGGAAGAAAGCAGACGTCTTGCAGCCATAAACAGGTTCTGCTATAACTCTGCTTGGATATTTGATCCCTCTATTTGGCAGAAATGATCTAAATCGGTTTGTTTCCTTGCAGGCACCTTACTTTTAAACATATATTTCCCCCGGGAGATAGCTCTGGGCCTTCAGGGAGGCATTCAGGAAGCTGAAGTTAAGCCCTTTTAAAATTACATGTGATGTGTTATGGGATTGCTATCCTGTCGGATCAACCTGCTGTGCCAAATTAAGAATAAAACACTTGGGATGTCCAGCTACAAACAGCAGCATCGAGTCAATCAGAAGGTAATAGAGCTGGAACAACCTGAAACGTGTTTGACATTAGAAAGAGCAACACCTGGACTGAAATCTGCAGCAGCTCTTAAAGACAGACCACATGCAATCTGGAGTAACTTTTAAAGGTCAGATGAGACAAAGATCAAGCTATGTGAGCACACTGAGAAGAATTATGTTTGCCGGTGTCATGGTGAGGCTGTGGAGCATTGCGGCGGTGGCGTCATGCTGAGGGTTAGTTTCACCCTCAGCGGTGAAGGTGTACGCTGCAAAGTAGATAATCAAGATGAGGGGTCACAGTTTTCTTCACATCCAACCAACATCTGAAGAGCTGAGACATGATGGTTTTATAAAACAACACTACTAAACATTTAAACCGATTTTATTGTGGAAACTGAATGACCCTTAGCTGACCCTGATAAAGGTTTGTGAGTGGTGGTTATAACAAAATCTAAGTCAGTGCCAGAAAACCCTAGCCTGACGTAGTCCTACTCAATTCTAGTCAGAATATGAGTCTGATACTCCATAGAGCTGTGATTATGGGGCGTGTTTCGAACGAATCAGGAAAAAAAATGCCACTGCACTCAATTGGATAGACCTACAACCAATAAGAGCAACGGAGTGCGTGACGTACTGTATGTTAAGCGACGCATAGTTGTCAACAAAAATCAAAGCGTGCAGTTGCACACCTAGAATAAGAAGATGAGCCTTGATCGCGTTTCTCTGTTCCTCTTTTAAAATTAATTCGCTGTCGATATCTTCTAGAACAGACCTAATAGCAGAATCTACTCACCTCAACTCTCCAGCGGCAGCCATTGTTGTTGTCACCCAAGCGCGCTTTGGAGACATGGTTGATTACGTTCCTGTTGATCATCTATCCAATCCAATCCAATCCACTTTATTTATAAAGCACGGTTTAAATAAACACAAGGTTTCCAAAGTGCTGCACAAAAAGATAAAATAACTAAAATAAGTAAAAGTAAATAAAATAAAACAAAATTTGTCCATCATCGTATAAAGCCCGCCCTGACAATTTGATTGGCCCGCCAGATATTGTGCTAGCATACTCGCGCTACTACCGAGCAATGCCACACCGAACTTCCCGACCTCAAACGTTGTGGGCGGGACTAAGTTTGGAATGGCACCCAGGCTAAGAAAACCCACCATTTAAACTGAATCTTAACCTTTTTTAACAAGAAATATTAAGTTTCCACATAGAAATATGCCAGGTCTATGATAATAGCAAAAAAAAAAAACATGTTTTATTCCTAACTCTGCTAAAGAATATTGAACCACAATTGGTGTATTTACATGGAATGTTGATAATATCTTAATATCTCATATTTAGGGAGGAAATCTCCTTCTGTTCCTTGAATTAGCATAGAAGGAGTTTAAAGTTCAGTTTGTTTATGAATGGTGGATCTTTCTTCAAGCCGACAGACCATGACTGACTGTCTGCTTCAGACTCCAGCAGCATCATTCAGTTCCTGCTGAACCAATCAGTAACTCAAAAAGTCTATGTTTGCTGTATTTAACTCACATTTACTGCGAGCAACAGAGAGCCAGCGCTGCTGCAACTCCTTAAAATCCAACTTTGATCCATTTACTGCTGCGTCGCTTTTACTGACTGACTGATAACATGAAGTTAAGATGAAACTTTCATCTTCAATTCATAAGATATACAGAACATCAAAGAGGTTTATACATTCCACTCAAAGACTGTAACGCAATCAATAAATAGACAGAACCAGAATAAACAGATCTGGGATGTATCCTTCCTCCAGGCAAACATTCTTGTTGCTGCATCTATTCATTTATATACGCTCATACATATAAAGAGTTTTTCTCTTTTTTATCTGACTGGTTTGCTTGTGTTCCCTCCGGCGACGATCATTATTGCTTTAAATGTGTTCTGACTGAGATTTCAGCTCAGCAGGTCTCCCTTCTTCCCCCGACCAGATCAAACATATAAAGCGGTGCATTCTGCTGCGAGTCCATGTGCTGCATCAGGATAAGTTGTTTAACTTTTAATTTGAGTCACCCTCTTAGTTTTATTATAAATGATGATTCAGAGATAAAAGTTATTTAGAAAAGCTGTCCATTAGCTTAAATCTGCCTATTGGACAATGGAGGAAGATCCACATGTGCCCTGCAGATGGAATCCACCTTCTTAAAACTTTTTCACATTTTACACAAAAGGATGCATGACGTTTAAACGCCCCTAAACGTAACACAGCTTTCCTGATTTAAAGCATGCATGATTTAATCTCAGTGCCAATCCAGCTGCTCTGTGAGGACCAATGAAATTATTTTACAGGGATGAATAAACAGATTTATTCATATCTCTATATTTTGTTTTTTTTCTTTTACCTTAAAATTATGCACTGAACTGTCTTTATCACATTCTTATCACATATAAACTTAACAAAACTCCCAAAAAGGTAACAATTGTTCTAAAGCATCAGCTTCAATAAAGGGGGAAGGTTTCTAAACAATAGGGTTGTCACAATACTAAACTTTTCAACTCGATACCGATACTAAGGAAAATATTCGATACTCGATACCATTTTCGATACCACAAGGATAAAAACAAAGACTCCAAAATTCAACAGAAATATATTCATTAATAAATAAAATACAATAAATAAAAACAATAAACAATAAGAACAATATTTGGAGGTTGTATGCTGTGCACAATATTAAACAAGCTTGATAAAAAACTTATAAAATTAAAATTAAATGTTCCTTCCTTGGCTATGCTTTGCACACATAACAATGACGCTAGCCAAACAAACATAATTCTCAGCAGCTGCACCTGTTACAAAAAAAAGTCTTAAACTGAAAAGTGCTTAGAATTATTCAATCACACAGTGTTCTGAAAGTGCATTTTCCACTATTCTGCACTTTAGATGCACTTTAGGTGCCAGTGGTGGTAGCACTGTATCGATACTTTTGAAAATGAGTATTGTATCCGGATACAACGTTTCAGTCTTGATACTTTTTTGACAACCCTACTAAACAACTCTGCAGAACCATCAGAGTTCAGATTTTTCCTCCTGATTTGGTTTCATCTATTCGTTTAGCTGAACCTGCATGGGTCTTCTTGCATGTCAGACTGGTGATTAGGATAGATGAGAAACATAAACCTGATGAGATTGATTCTCCGTCCAATTACTTTTGAAAAAAAAAACCCCACTGAGGATTAAAGAGTTATGTTTCTCTAAATGCATGTGGTGTGTCGGCTACAGCTGCGTTATACCCATGGCACAGCCTGCAAGATTCCACCGTTTGATTATTCGAGGCCCAAGGCACTTAGTTGCCTGCATGAGATCAGTGATGGCTATCGCATACACACTCAAAACAAATCATGCAAACGCGCGGGTAACATGCAGCCTGCTTTGTGCAATAAGCTACTTACAATCTATGCAACAGCAAAGACTGGATGAGAAGTTAATCCCCCCCTCTCTCACTGTCTGACTCTTTGTCTTTATCTCTGTCTGTTGATGTTTATTGCACATTTCGTTTGAATATATATCTACTTTATTGAGTGCTAAGAAATTAGAGTGAATGTGTTTTACCTGTGGATGACCGGTTATCCCCCCAGTGTCATTGCTCTACACCTGACAGTAACTTTCCTGCCAAACATAGATTGTGTTATAGATGGAAACATTAACTACATGTAATCTAAAGTAGTCTCTGCAGGCATCAGTGGGGGCAGCCTCAGCAAGTCACACAAATCAGTCTAGCACATGGGAATGTAAAAGCAATCAGTGAGATTATTTCACTCAACAAGTGCGTGCTGATGCTTTGAGTCATCTGCGCTCCTGATGTTCCCTCTGCCTGCCTGATTCTGGATACAGGCGATAACGCATAATCAGACAGGAAGGTGTTTCCTGTTAGTTCCTGTAATTTGGGCTAATAACCGTCACCCTGCTCCCATTCCCTTTTAAATCATTTATAGAATACGTGTGAAAGTCTCGTTATCTCTGACAGCATCTATGCCAGCTGCAGTCCCAGAAAGCAGGAGGACTTTCACCCTCTTTCCTCTGACCAAGCATCCTCCCGGGATCTGCAGACCGGCTGCCTGACCTGATGCATGGTACTGTAGGGCTTATCTATGGGGTGAATATCCTCTCTGGCCCTACTGCATGTCTGTCCCCATTCTCCCCACCCTCTCCATGCCATCTGTGCACCAACCAAAGCGGAAACCAGATTATCCCATGAATGCGTCATGCCAAATCAATGGCCACCACGCTAGGAGCCTCCTATGCTTTCATTTTGTATGGACGGAATATAAAAACATACAGAGACATGCTGAAGAAAAATAAATAATCCTTGCATTTAATTTTGTCTACTTCTGATAAAGTGTTTTAAATTGCTTAATTGCTTAAGAAAAATTTTTGTTTCTCACAACATAAAAAACAACGGGGTTCAACAATCTATTTTAGCCTTAATTTCAGATTTTTGTTTTTTTTTTTCTTTAATTT